GCCTTACAGAGAAAAACCTTCAGCTTTATTAACAAGAAGATCCAAATAATTTTTATATCTGGTAAGTTCATTCCCAATTTACACGTTATATACTTTTTAATAACCAAAGCATATAATTTGATATAAATTACTCATCACTTTATAGAATATTAATTTGAACATACAGACTTTGCTGTCAATTTCCAAAAGCCAGTTTTTATTCATTGGTTATTATTCAGATCAGGAAGCTTATCATGCTTATGATCAATATAAATTCAATATTTCAGTCTTCCTATCTTCACAGATTGATATCTATACCGAGAAAACTCACCCGTGAGAAGAGAAGGACTGATGGCAAATCCGAAGTGCAATGGAATTAACCCTTTTGAGGAGTTTACATCCAGTACAATACATTGGGAGGAAGACCTCTCCAAGGCAGAAACCTGTACAGTCACTTTCAGTTGAGGATGACGTTTCAGCCTGTAGGGGATTAGGGTTGCAGTCAACCCAGCAAGATGTTCAACAATAATATCCTGAAGTACGTTGAGACTTGGGATATTATATCTGTGTCTCCATCCTGAATGCTACTTTATGTAGCTACTTGAAATCAAATTTCAGCGCATCACAAACATCCAGATAGATGATCAAGTTTACTTTGTAGTCAGATGTGTGATCAGCTATGACATTAAATGCTCTGCAAGACAACGATTAGACTTGTCAAACGTATAGCCTAAGATATCACTATAACTGACAATGTTACTATAATCTTGAGGAAGTACAGTTTCATGCCATAGAGAAAAGTAAAACTTGTTTTTAAAAATTCACATGATTTGCTGTTGCCAACTTGGCTTGCCTTGGTTGGTAGCACTCTAGAATCAAAAGGTTGTAAATCAAGCATGTAATTTAGGCTAATGTTTCAGTGCTCTGCCATGAAGTACTGCAGTTCTAATCTCAAATGCCTGTTCGGCTGGGTGTAAATGTTACCATGCCACATTACCTCTGTTAATTTCTTCTTTCAAACCAACACATCAAAAATAGAATACTTTGTCATTTATTTGCCATTTATGAGGCCACATCTAATGCAAATTGGCTGCTGCATTTGCCTGAAAAGCAGTGAATTAGCCTGAAAACATTTTGGGATGCCCTGAGAACATAAAGCACTAAAAAAAAAGTTTCTTTCCTCCTTTGAAGTCACCTTTTGAATTCACCTTTTGAATTGTTTTGATTTTTGCATTAATGTATTAAAGTAATTGATTTTGTTAACTTTTAACTTTGCAAAATAAACTACTGAATTTCATCATTCAAGTTCCCTGTTCAGTTTCTTCCTTCAGTGTTGATAGTTAATTTAAGATATAGAAAGGATATCTCTGCCAATCACTCTACTTCCTACTAAACACTCTACACATTGTAGTGCAACTTCGTCTCTTGTCTTTGAGGTATTTGTTTTGAACTTTTGTAACTTAGGTATGAAAATATAAATATATAACACTGATCAATTCTTGTAATCTATATTGGTGTGCCAAAAATACAGTTAAACACATGGTGTCTGTTTTATATTGGTACCTTGTATTTAAATAAACCATGGACTCATTTGTATTAGTACTCATGATATGATAAAGGAGGATGGTATTTTATAAAAGAAACATACGGTACAATGTGTTGAATATCTCCCTGGGAATACTCAAGCAGTTAGTATTTTATCTCTGCTTCTACACTCTTTGTTTCTTCCTGTTACTATCTCTGTCCTTCCACTACATTCATCTTTTTTCTCTCTCTCCTGCTAAGTAACAATGTTTCCCCATGTAGTTACTGTGTGGTTCTTGTGCAGTTTTCTCAGGGAATGCACTTATAATGGCCGCCTATGCAAGCAGATGAGATATTTGCTGTAATTGAGAGATTATTGAATAAGTACACCAGAATGGGTTGAGAAAGAAGATCTGGAACTTGTGGAAAGGACTGTTGCTTTTTGAAGCAAACACTAAGTTGTAATGTGGAAGAGCTGCATTTAATGGTTATTAAGTTGTGTATGTGGGAAGTTCTAGAAATACCAGAGCAATTGCAGTTTAATGTGGAACTTTTAAAGTTACTGTAATTTTAGTTTGCAAGTGTGGAGAGAAGGGACAGACTGGAGAAATCAGAATGCCTTTGGAAATGTGTTGAGGGTGGTTAGAGGAATCACTGCAAGAAATCTGGAGATTGTGGTCAAGGAGGATGCTTAATTGCAATTTTTATATTCTGTCAACAAACTATTAGTGCTGGAGGATTTTTGCTTTCTTAATTCAACTTGTTAAATTTAAAGACCTGGTACCTGCCACATTTCAGTAACTAGATAATGTAAATATTTATGAAAAAAAGGAGGAAGTCTTCGTTCTTTGTTCGCTTTCAAAATTCACTTTTAAAACCTCAGGTTGAAGCAAGATACTACCAATGTGGATAAATCAGTTGTGAAGACATCAGACGAGACTTGATGTTAACTCTTTCAGTTTCTATGGATGCTGCCAGACCTGCTAAGTTTCTCCAGCATTCTTTTATGTTTATTTCAGATTTTCAATATCTGCAGTATTTTGCAATTATTGACCTGAAACATTAATTCTTTTCCTCTCTCCACAGATGCAACCTTTTGGGCTGAGTATTTTTGGCCATTTTTGTTTTCACTTCTGCCTATCCCTCCTGTGCGTCTCGTTTATGATCTTTCTGGAATTTAAACATCAGTATCCTTAATTAGTCACCTGAAGCCCCATTCACACTCAATACACACAAAACCTTACTGCTTCAAAAAAATATAAATTTTGACTGATCAGCCTTTTGAAATTAGTCCTCAAGTTTTCCTTAAATTAGTTTTCAAAAATAACCAAATTGAATATGATAGGTGTGAGAGCACAGTAAATAATTAAATGTTAAACTGCTCAATATACAACTTTAGTCCATGAGATCTACTTTCAGTTTAGTATCACCATTCAAAAATATCAAACCTAAACCTAGCCTTCCTTTCCTGACACCCAATAGGAACAGAACGTTTACCCAATAACGCACCAATTGAGTGTTAGTTGGCTTACAAAGTCTTTAACAAATGTAAATTTATATGAACAAAATTGACCTGATAAAACACTTAAATTTATCATTTGCAATTTGCAAATTTCCATAAATTTCCTAAGCCTCATATGGTTCAGAAAACATTTTTAAGCTGCATTTTTGGAGAAGTCTGTAAGTGACTAAAAAGCAACTACATTCTTGACAAATTCTTCTAACCGCAGACAATGAAATCATGATTATGGACACTGTCTACCTGAGAAACTCATAACAAAAAAACAGTTGTTAATAAGTAATATAAATGTATTTATTTGCCTGACCATAGTTTCAAGAATTCATCCTATTTGGAAATCTTTTGAAAACATTTGAACCCCCACACGAAGGCATGATCATGCACTGATACGTAAATTATATGGAGAAAAGTTCTGCGAACTGCACATATTCAGCATGCACTGATGTAATTGAAATCTTGTCCAGCTGCAGTGACTCAATATTCAGTGATGCTCAGGCATTAGGAAGAGCCTGAGAGCTTCAAGCAAAAGCTTTATTCAACGTTTGAAAAGACACATTAATTCAGTGCTTTGATGTAATCATGTTATTATGAAATATATTATTTTGTTTAAAGCTTTACTTTGGACATTATACATTTCCTGGAATAAAATGCAGATTAACTTTGTTTTCGAAAATTTTTGGTCCTGTTGGTTCATGAAAATATAGCAAAGTGTTTATATAAAGACTGGCTACACCTGTCAGTCATAATACAATTGGTAGTAGTCTCACCTTTGAGTAGTCGCAAGGCTATGGGTTCAAGAACCACACCAGGGAGTTTGAGAGCAGAAGTATAAGTTGACAGTCTAGAGTCAAGTGTGAAAACTGTAAATCAGAGCTGCATTCTTTTAAATCTGTCCTATGTGATGGTAAAAGATGGTATACTCCTTGTTTTGGTGAAGAGCAGAAGTGTTATCCTTGGTGTCCTGGTCAATATTTATCTGTCAAACAGTATCACAAAAAATGATCTGGTCATTAACACATTGTAGTATGCAGGAGTTTGTTGTGTGCATATTAGCTGTTGCATTTCCCTGCATTGCAAAGTGTCTGTAATTCTCAAGGAGATCATTGGCTGTAAAGTGCTTTGGGATGTCTGGTGGTTGTGAACTGCACAATTGCAAACAAAGCTTCCTTTTCCATGGATTATATAATGATTTTCAGTGTTGCATGTCAATATAAAATGTTATAACAAAAATGTGCTGCAAGAATTTGGATTTTAGGATGGGGATTGTGTGCTATATGCTAAAAGATTTGTGAAATGTACTGAACATTCAGAAAGAAAGGGAAAATGACATAGAAAATGTCAATACAATATACCATAAGGAGAACAGAAAGCACCAGCTCAACGTGATGTTAACTAGCATCATGTGAAATTGATATGTACATGTAGTCGCTGTAGCAAAGACTAGATTGTGGCACCATAGTTATTTTATTTTCCTTTTCCAGCAGCTGGAAATCAAAACTAATTGAACATAGCACTCCTTCCTTGAGTGATGAAAATGTCAGATTAAAGTATGCACAGAAAGTAACACAGTGCCATGGTATTTATAATTAATTGTCCATCAATACCGCATTTGACGACAACTGATTCAATCCAGACATTTTCAGATTGGGATCTCCAGATTCGGTGGGATTCATAAATTAATCTTATGGATTCCAAAAATAATTCTCGTGCCTTACACCCATTGCTTTGTTGTGTTACATTGTTTTTAGGAAGTTAGTCCAGCAATTTTGAACATTGTAAATCTCTAAATTGTTAAAATAAGTTAAAAGTTTTTTTTTATATTTAGGAGTAGTCTCCTTATACCTTTTAATATAATGAATCTACGAAAAGCAGCAGAAAAATAAGGGAGATAATGTAGATATTTTTCCTATCTAAGTTTATAGTTTTTAAATATTCTGTTTCATTTCACTTTTATATTTTTCTGTTTCTATTTCAAAAGGATGAATCCATACAAAGTTACCATGGAATCAAAGGCTGCTGCTTCAAATCTTCTGAATGCATTGCATTCTTTCTATCAACTTGGCCATCTCTGTGATGTGACTGTCCATACAGAGCACCTTGGCGTTCAAGAAGAGTTTGCAGTCCACAGAGCAGTGCTGGCTGCCTCTAGCAATTACTTCAGAGAAATATTCCTCAGGGATGAACTGTCTGAGATAAAGGAAACAACGGTCACATTGCAGGATATTTACACTGAGGATTTTACCTCTTTTTTAGAATTTGTGTACACAGCAAAAATGGAGATTGAGCCTCAGAAAGTATACCGAATGCAGGATGTTGCTGAAAGACTGGAATGTAAAGATCTTGTTGAAGCCTGCGAGCATCTGAAAGGTGAGCTATCGGAGAAGAACTCGGATATGAAAGAGCAAGTTCGCCAAGAATACCAGTTTGCTGATAAACCTAAAAATGCTTGGAATACAACAAACTCACGGCATCTGGACAGTCAGGAGATAGAGAGTTCATCCAGGATTGTTGCTACACCAATGAAAAATAGACTTTGGAACAGACTATCAAAAAAGAAAACCTTGGATACTGGCCAACCACAGGTGGAACACTGCAAACAACAGGGAAGTGCAAAGGAACTTACTGAGTCAATCGCTGTCATTGATCCTAGCACAGGAATGGTCAAATCAACTAACTATACCACAGAAGAGATGAACGAAGAAGATGCAGATACTGCTGGTGATCTTGGTCAAAAAAGTGATTGTAAAACTGATTCAATAAGCCAGGCAGAATCCCAAAAAACGCGAATTGTGATCAAGAAATTGCACTGTCTGGGAGATGAACATGAAATACATGATGAGTTTGGCTCAGAGAGTAGCGAGCTGAAAAAAATTACCAGGAGCATGTCCAAGCGCTTACCTCAGAGTTACACTTGTGACAAATGTCACCAGATTTTTCAATTCTTAAAACCATATCAAACTCACATGAGTATTGAGCATGACATTACTATTGTCATAAAGTATAGCTGCAGTATGTGTTCTCAGCTTTTTTCCAATCATCAGAACCTAAGGCAGCACAGACTGACTGTTCACAACAATGAGCGCCCCTTTGCTTGTTCGCTGTGCGACAAGCGATTTAAGCGGCAAAAGGACATCAATGACCATGTTAGGAGAGTGCATGAGAAGAGAAGGACTCCTCAGACCTGTCCTTATTGTGACAAAATTATTAGTTCAAAATGTGGACTCACTGTTCACATCAGAACACATACTGGTGAAAAACCGTATAAATGCCAGTTTTGTCCAGCAAGCTTTGCTCAACGATCTGCTTACAACACTCACGTGAGGTATTATCAATTTTTATGCATAATGCTTTCAGAACTGATGTGTTTCTTTATATTATATAAAAGCCTCCAAATTGGATTTTTTAAAGGAAGCTGAAATCAAGGCTAGTATTAAATATTGTTCTTAATTATGCTAGAAAAATATGTTGCATAATATAAACAGAAAATACTAGAAATACTTAACAAGTCAGTAGCATCTATGAAGTGGGGAACAGAGTTAATGTTTCTTCACATTGCCCTTTTGTCAAATATTTGCTTAGTATTTACATCATTTTCTGTTTTTACTCTAAATAAATTTCCAGAATCCATAGTATTTTGCTTTTACAGAAGTATATAGAAGCTAGTAATAAACCAATTTGTTTTAGTTCACTCACCAGATGTGGATATCTCAACATTTATACAGTTGACAGCTTGTGTGGTTATACTTTCAGTGGGATTCATCAGTTAGTATTCCATTGATAGCAGAATTTGAAATAATATTGATGTATCATTCCAAACCTATGCATTCTAGATGGTGAGAGAATGGAATGCACTGCCTGGAACTATAGTGAAGGCAAGTTTAATTGAGCCACTCAAGGACTTGATGTGGGGAAAAAGCAGGAAATCGGCACTAGACAATAGAGCTGGTGCCAGCTGAATGGCCTGCTGTACCATAATAATTCTATGATACTGTGAATGCCAAGTCATGAATGTTTTTTGACGAAATAGAGCACCATATGGTTACATGTCATTAAAACAAATTACTACTTCATCGTTGAGTTTGCTGTTGCTTACCTTTTGTTTATTATGAAGTCAGAAAGAAAATTGCATTACAATAATTTACAAGAAATCAGCTGGAATTTGTTATGTTACCAAAAAACGGGGAAGAAGTGGCATTCTGGTAATGTCACTGGACTAGTAATTCTGAATCCAGGCTAATGTTCTAGGAGCATGGGTCTGATCTAATCATGACAGGTTGTGAAATTTGAATTCAATAAAAATTGGGAATTTTAAAACAAACTAACCTAATGGCAACCATGTAACCATTGTCGTTTGTCATAAAACCCCATCTGGTGCACTTTTTGCTTTCCTTAACAGGTCTCCAGACACAGCAATGATTTGGGATAGGCAATAAATGCTGGTCTAACGTCAACACCAACACCAACGTCAAATAAAAAATTTTTTAAATGAGTTTTCACAGCAAGTAAGCTCTGGTTTCAATTGGATTCCAGAGTTGACTTAAATTCCCATTCTAATGCTATTAAACAAAGCAATGTTTTTGAGACTTGATTACTGATTGGAGAACAAAATGAGTGCACCAAGTAAAGAATGCAAAGTGTTTTACATTTTTAGTGACATGTGTGCCAAAAAGCCTAAGGCCATATCCTGCTGGAACAGGCCATTTGCAGCGTAGAGCATTCATTAACCTTTCTCCCTCATTCTTTAATTCAAAGTTTTGGTACTATAACTTTCTGGACGTGCAAGCTGGTACTGGTGAAGCTGATGGGATCTGTGGAAGTTGAGCTCCTTGTGGAGCCAACAGTTTGATTCCTCAATCAAGGGATTTTGGAATTAAGAAAGAATCAAGAAAACAAAGGAGGGTCAATTTAGCATAAGATCAGATACAGAAAGTGAAATAAAGGTAGGAGAAAGCAAAATTATATTCAGAGATGGAGAATAAAAAGGAATAGGTGAAAAGAAGATAAAATGAACATTTAACATATTTTTATATTTCACGAAGCCAATGACTACCTGCAGGAATTAATTTGAGCACCTGAAATTGTTTCTTTCTGAGCCAGAGAGACTCACTGGAATTGCATTAACAGTTACAATGCCATGAATCTATTGAGTATAGATTGTTTCACTTTGCTAAACAGTGCCTTCAGCAAAGTGGTTCACAGGCCCAATCCAATAGGGAAGGAAAGAGAGATAACAAGGTGTAGAGCTGGATGAACACAGCAGGCCAAGCAGCATCAGAGGAGCAGGAAAGCTGAAGTTTTGGGCCTAGACCCTTCTTCAGAAAAGGAAAGACGTTGGTTATTTTGGATTGTTTTGAAGTAACAGAACCCTTAATTTAGATATCCAACATAATGTATTAATAT